TTACTTTGATCCTCAAAAATTTACATTTTTGTTTACTTGATGAAGGGAGGACCAAGGATGATGTGAACCACTGGTTCCTACCATCAGTTTTGCGTTCTGGAGGAAAAACCTGTTCCGTGCCAATAAGCATTGGTGACAGAATATGAAAAGCTCTTGTACTGTCTTCTAAACAGCAATGTTTCCTCCTTCTTGTCCCAAAAAATGAATATTGTAGCAGAATAGTGTAATCCAAGGCAAATCTGTCCATGCATTTGAATGTATTGCTTTTTGGTTGAAGGGAGTTTTCATTTCCATATGTCTGTCTAAAGACACAACTTCCCAAAACACATCCTTTTTGAGTGTGACACACAATCCTTGAGATATTGATGATAAATTGGTTTGTTTTGCACCACTTGCCTGTGTATTTAGTACTAAAACATAATATGCTGAAAACTACTTATTGAAGCGGACATCAGAGAGCCGAAGTGTTGTTACTTCATTAGTAAGTAGTAGATTTGCTATTGCAAGGTTTACAGATGTGCTGGTATCTGACCACTAAGCTGAAGAGCAGTATTTTCTTTTTTAAAAGCTTCATATCAATAATGCCTGCTGATGGGATTCTTAGATATGCCCACATAGAGTAAGCCAACTAACTTCTCAAGTAGAATTTTTTTTTCCTAGCTGAAGTAGCAAACATCGAACTTTTTTTTTTTTTTTTTTTTAAAAAAAAACCCTATTTCTTTCCATCCAGGGAGGGAGTGGGGTTTTTTTTTCAGTGAGTTGTTTTTGAGATCTGAAACTGCAATATATTTTCATTTGCAAGTGGATATTGCATCTTTAATTGTATTCTTTTTGGACAGAATTGCAAATTTCCACAGTGACCAATGCAAACCTAGTGAAAATAATTTTGGATCTGTCATAAGTAATCAGAATTCGAGTCTGATGACTTTTAGTCCACTTTGGCCACCTTTTAATGTCATGGTAATTTAATTGTAAAAGGAAATTTGGGGGGCTTTAAAAAAATAATGTTTGACCTAGGAATGCTTGTCAGGCAAATCTAAGTGTGTATTGAAGCTGCCTAAACTGATCTCTTACAGAGGGAGGCAAATTCCAAGTGTCCTGGATCTACTTTGTTGGTAATAACATAACTAATTTGAGTTGCTTTTTGTATCTGGTGCCTAACTTTTTTTTAAGTAAGACTATTACAGTTTTGGTTTGTCAGATAATCGCTGCAAGGAAAACACTGAGATTATAATGCAGTTTCACTGGATCCTAGTTGCTGAAGTGTGTTTTCACTGTAAGATAAGCTTATGAAGTATTGCCCAAGCTAACATAGTAAATCTTTCTCAGAAAACATGTCGTTGCCCAGGGTGGAAATATTGAATGGTCATTGGATAACCACTGCAGTAAAGGGGTCAGAATAATTCATTTTTAGTTTGGCATAATGCAAGGAGTTTCTTCCCACCTCCCCTGCTCAAAATCCTGCTCCTCTCACAAGTTAACTCTGCTTTAGGATTGCCTCTGTGGCTCTGCCCTGTTGTGGGAGATATTTGTGTCTCCCAGCTCAGACCTTCTAGACCACCAGTCTCCAGTGGGGCCCAGATACCTCCCCTTTCTGCCCACCCACCAAGTTCCAGGTTCATTGGAGGGAAGGGGGATGTGCAGCAAAAAGCAGGGACTGCCAGAAGTGTATTTAGGGAACTCGGGTACCAGACTCTTGTGGCAGATTATTGCTGTTGAGACTGAGGTCTCTGTGCAATAATTTCATAACTGAGACAGGTGGACATTGCATCTGGGCAGTTGTCCTTTCTCAGCAGAGGGGTTTGTCACACGGTGTCCTCATTGCTGGTGCTCTGCTAATGTAGACTTCCAAGCACTAAATGCAGCCCTGGTACCAACAGAATTTGAATTTTTACTTCAAAAGGAGCAGCTACAAGGTACAGCTACAATCTATAGAGAAGTCCACATCTCTTGGCCCCCAGAGTGCAGAGTTCCTCATGTGTCTTCGTCCCTGTCCTTGTTTCAGGAGCATTGCCCAAGAGTAAATATACACGATGACCTTTTAGATACTGAAGTTGATTAAGACACATGGGTAGGAATAAGTAGATGGCTGGGATTTGCTTCCTGCTTTCCTTCTGTTGATGGTATAGTTGTAGATCCTAGCTTATGTCTGCTGGAGTCTCTAATAGTCCCAGGATTTTTCGGGAGGGATACTGAAATTGGAGAGATCCCCAAGGAAGAAGGTACTCTCCAGCCAGCCAAAGGCCCTTGGTTGATTTTGCCTGTGAAGGAAAAAGGCAGGTTCTACCAGATGGTACAGTGAGAATCTAGATGCTTTCTGGTACCTGTATTGGTTCCCGTGGGGCTCAGCTTCAACAGGATGGGGGGCAATGCCCCAGCCCTGCATGTTCTTCATCCCAGGCAAAGGAGGCTGTGGTGACCCATTTGCCATGCTCCCCGTGACAGCTCTCTCCTGGTACTTCTGCGCTTTTGCATGCATGTATGTGATGCCTTCCAAGGACACCACTGCTGGCTCCTTTTTTTTGACGGGGAAAGCTGCTTCCGTGAAAAAATGTAAGCAACTTTTTGGAGAAACGGGAGCTGCAAGGAGAAGTGGAAAGAAGGCAGTGCTAACAGGGGCATGTTTCTTGCGTGGCTCCTGGTGCTTCTCCCATTCTTGCCTGTTATGCCGTGAGTCGGTGCTTGTTATTCTGCTGCCCTGGGAAAGCAGTGAACGCAGCTCTTGCTTTTTTCCAAACACATTTAGATCTGGTTTCTCTCCCAGCCAGTAAGTGCTGTTCAGTGGGAGAGAGTTGACTCCAGTAAAGCCCTGGGCTTGTGGCTGGTGTGCCTGAAGACAAGGTCTCTGGAAGGTGACCAACCTCCCCTTGCCTACCGCACCTGCCAACGTTTCTTTGTTCCAAATCGTCCCGTTCTTTGTCCTAGCTGTCTTCATGGTTGGCACACCACAAACCCGTGACTATGAACCGATGGCTTGAAAATTTTTAAGAAAACAAAACAGGTCCTTGCTTTTATTCTTTATTAACTGAGTGCTTGATATGACCTTTAGCTGGCAGAGATCTTAAGAGGCAAGCAAATGAGGTATGTAACTTGTGTGTCCCCACTTTTAAAACTGTTTATAATTATCCAAGAAATTTTTTTCCTCAGCTTGTTTGTCACCGTGAATCCCTGGGTGGTTTTACCCCTTAGTAACCCTGATTGTGGCACATGTTCATGTCGGTAGGAGAAGTAAAAGAGAAAGTACCTGCTGCTACTATTGTTGCTTTTTAAGGAAGGAAGATTTTTATTTAAACGCTTGAATACCTGTCTGTTCTCTCCTTGGCCTTGCTAGAAAGTCAGTAAAGATAAAATAAAATTAAAGTCACTTAGATTCTTCTGAAAAAGATGATCTCTGGGGAGAGGCGAAGTCTGAAGAGCTTTGTATCAGAAGGCAAAGCTGGGGATAATTAGCAGCATATGAGAACAAGGGTTTGTCATTAGAGCGATAGCTGTCATTGTCAAACGACTGCTGGGGTAACGTTGCCCGAAGGCAACCCAGGCCATCCACGGTGGCAGAACCATCTGTGAACGTGCCCTCGTGACAGTGGTGCACAGCCGTTCCCCTCGGGGCAAGCTCCTGGCCCCCGCTGCCACCCTGTTCCCCCCTGAGCACCAGCCCCCAGTGCCCTGGCCCTGCCGGCAGCT